CTTCACACGTGTGTCACCATTCCAGGTGTGTCACCCCAATACCCCCCACCCCCACGCGTGTCACCACCCCACATTTGTCACCCCATCCCCCACCCCCATTTGTGTCACCATTCCACGTGCTCACTATCCCAGCCGTGTCCCCGTCCCACGTGTGCCCCCCCAGACCCCCCACCTCCACTCACACTCCACGTTCACGTTGACATCCCGTGTGATTGTGCCCAAGGCGTTGCTGGCGTTGCACCGATACGTCCCGTTGTGGTTCCGGTTGACGACCCACGGCTGTTGCACGGGGACGATGGTGCCATCCTTGTGACACGTCACCACTGGCTCGGGTTTTCCTCGTGCACGGCACCACTGAGTCACCTCCTGGCCCTCCGTCCAGGTCTGGGTTGGGGGGCAGAGTTGCTCGTCCATGTAGGGCGGAGCTGTGTGGGGGGGAAATGGGGTTCACTATTGGGCCAAAAAGGGTTTGCCTTGGGACCTGTGGGGTTTTGCACCAGGGCTGTGGGGTTTTGCACCAGGACTGAGGGGGTTCTGCATTCATAGCAGGGGTTTTCCACCAGAGCTGTGGGATTTTGCACCGCTGCTATGGGATTTTTGCACCAGGACTGAGGGGGTTTTGCACTGGGACTCTGGGATCTGGCACCACTGCTATGGGATTTTTGCACCAGGACTGTAGGATTTTGCACCAGAGCTGTGGGATTTTTGCAGCAGGGCTGTGGGGTTTCACATTCATAGCAGGGATTTTGCACTACGCCCAAGGGGTTTTGCACGAGAGCTGTTGGGCTTTGCACCAGGGCTGTTGGACTTTGCACCGGGGCTGTGGGGTTTTGCACCAGGACTGTGGGGTTTTGCATTCATAGCAGGGGTTTTGCACCAGAGCTGTGGGATTTTGCACCACTGCTATGGGATTTTTGCATCAGGGCTGTGGGGTTTCACATTCATAGCAGGAATTTTGCACTAGGCCTAAGGGGTTTTGCACGAGAGCTGTGGGACTTTGCACCACTGAGAGCTATGGGGTTTTGCACAAAGACTATGGGGTTTGGAACCACTGCTATGGGATTTTGCACCAGGACTGAGGGGTTTCGCATTCATAGCAGGAATTTTGCACCAGAGCTGTGGGATTTTGCACCACTGCTATGGGATTTTTGCACCAGGGCTGTGGGGTTTCACATTCATAGCAGGGATTTTGCACCAGAGCTACAGGATTTTGTACCAGAGCTATGGGATTTTTGCAGCAGGGCTGTGGGGTTTTGCACCACTGCTATGGGATTTTTACACCAGGGCTGTGGGGTTTTGCATTCATAGCAGGGATTTTGCACCAGGACTATGGGGTTTTGCAACAGGACTATGGGATTTTTGCACCAGGACTGTAGGATTTTGCACCACTGCTATGGGATTTTTGCAGCAGGGCTGTGGGGTTTCACATTCATAGCATCAATTTCGCACCAGAGCTGTGGGATTTTGCACCACTGCTATGGGATTTTTGCACCAGAGCTGTGGGGTTTCACACTCATAGCAGGGATTTTGCACTAGGCCTAAGGGGTTTTGCACGAGAGCTGTGGGACTTTGCACCAGGGCTGTTGGACTTTGCACCAGGGCTGTGGGGTTTTGCACCACTGCTATGGGATTTTTGCACCAGGACTGTGGGGTTTTGCACCAGGACTGTGGGATTTTGCACCAGGACTGTGGGGTTTTGCACCAGGACTGTGGGGTTTCACATTCACAGCAGGAATTTCACACCATATCTGTGGGATTTTGCACCACCCCTAACAGCTTTTGCTCCATGCCTGCGTGTTTCCCGCACCGCCGCTCCGGTGGGGTTTTGCACTTCGGGGTTTTGCACCAGGGCCGCATCCAACCCCAAATCCCCAAAACCCCAAAACCCCCAAAACCCCAAAACCCCAAAACCCCCGACCACCCACCGCTGACATCCAGCCTGACGCCGTTGCCCCGTTTCGGAGCTCTGCCCTCCAGTTTGGCCTCGCAGAGCAGCTCGGCTCCGTCGTGCTCCTCCGTCACCAGCAGCGTGAAAAGCAGCGGCGGTGGCCTCCAGGGCACCAACACCTTTTGTCCCAGCGTCACCCGCAGCTCCATGCCCTCCTTGCGCCCCCCTGGCAGCTCGCAGCCTCCAGACAGGTTCTGCATCGCCACCGGGGCGGCGCTGCTCACCTCCAGCCGAGGCGTGGGGAAATCTGAGGGTGACAGTCAGAGGGGTGACGCCTGTGGGATGCTGGCATTGCCACCCTGTTGTCCCCGCCGTCTGCCTGTTGTCAACCCCCCATTGTGACCCTGTTGTCCCCACGGTCTAATTGTTGTCAACCCCCATTCTCACCCTATTCTCCCCACAGTCTGCCTGTTGTCACCCTCCCATTGCCACCCTATTCTCCCCGCCGTCTGCCTGTTGTCAACCCCCCATTGTGACCCTGTTGTCCCCACGGCCTAATTGTTGGCACCCCCATTCTCACGCTATTGTCCCCACGGTCTGCCTGTTGTCACCCG